CATTTTTTTTTATTTCTCAGACATGCAGGTTTCCTCACGATGTTTTCCTTCACCGCCGAGCACGTGGTAAATCAGCACTTAAAATTGCAATTAACAATTTCATTGGTGCCGGCGGGGATCGAACCCGGGTTGCTCTAGTACTGTGAAGCTTACAGCGAGCGCTAACCATCTGAGCTACCACGGCTCTTAAACTTGTTCTTAAACTGTAATATTATAATTATGTACGTCAAACACTTAAAATATAACATTAACTACTATTCAAATAATATTTTATTGATGCAACAACAAAGGCGGCCTCCGAATTCAAGGTAAACTTCGAAGTATTAATAATAGCAAGAATAATGTTTAAGTAGTAATTCACTTAGCTAATGGAATATCGCCTTCATACATAAAACTTATCTGCTATGGTGTCTTTATGTTTTGATAAAATGAATAGGTATAATCATTTTATATAAATTTGAATCTCCTATATACCTACACTTTCTATTCAATGCTGAATATTTTTTTTGTAGTTACAATAATGATTTTTGTCCATACTTACTCCTTTGCGCCAGGCACACAGACAGGTTATGCAGTTTGAAGGAGTAGCAGCTCTAGATTCATTATAAGTTTGTAGGATTTGGATCGTAAAGTTATGAATATTATTTTTTTCGGTTGCCATTTGTCGGTTGCCAGAGCCTCGTTCGTTGATTAGCAGAGTGTATAGCGTACAGGGATAATTATCGGTATTTGAAAAGAAGCTACACCGCTTTTACAACACATAAATAAAATATTTTTTGTTCTGAATTTGTCAAACATTATAATGTTATAGAAATTTTATAAAACCAAGCGCACACATTGACTGAATGGAATGCCGACGTTGGGTCACTTTCTTTCACTTTTTTTCTCACTTTCTTTCCGTATCGGGCACGTTCGCAACGCGGATTTTGGTCTTTCTTATTTAGTTCAATCATTCTAGCTGAAAAATTGGCAAAATTAATGGAGTGATTTTGTCTATCGGCATATGAACGTTATAGAGCGAAGTTAAATTTTATCTAATCTTCCTTCTCCCCGGTTGTGCGGCACCCAAGAAAGTGTCCCGACCCGCGGTTTACCAGTTTTATAGAAAACCGTACAAGGTACATGAAAAGTGTGCCGGTACGAAATAATCCTTGAATAATTTTCTATCAACCTGTTATACATATAAAAGTGATATCACTTATAGTTTTCGTGCAATCTGCCACGAACTATAAAGACTTTTACCATTTATCGATTTTTTTTTGCTCAGTTTAGTTTTCTCGAAAATTTCCCACTTTACTTGTTTGCATGTTTAGATATGTATGACTAAAATAAAAAATAGAATATGTTCTTTAAATAGAGGTATAATTTATTTCTAAACTCTTTAATTTTACGTTGCTATGCTACTTTTAAAATTTAATTGATTCGGCCATTCAGCGAAATATAAATATTTGCATTTGAGTTAAAAAATTGCCAAAATAAATGGAGTACTTTTATCTGTCGGCATATGAACGTGATAGAGCAAAGTTAAATTTTATCCATTCTGCCTCTCCCTCCCGGGTGAGCGTCCCCCCCCCCCCCCCCTTCTTCATTTTGTATTCTTAGCGATATGAAGGGTACATAATATAAGATATGATAGAATCAGGCGTTACTTTGCGGAAATCCCTTATAATGGGGTTGTTAGATAGATAGATAGATAAAGCATTTATTTGTTTCTCCAATCACACACGTAAATTCAGTAACTAAACTAAGTACAAAGTAACATATTACGAAAAAAATAATTTACAAAAACTTAAAATCTAAATGTACATGTGTGTTGCAGTTTGACAAATGGATCCTAGCTCAGCGATTAATATTGCTCAGAGAGCAAACACTGATTTTCAGCTATTACCCTCGAGATGACGAGAAGAAAATGAGCACAATAGTTATCAGTGTAAATATGTATATTTGAAAGATGTGTCCTTTCAGCCCTACGATTTGCATCCTGGGTTTAATTTAGTAAAATTACTGAAGGGGCGTGCAAGTGTGTAAGTTTGCGTACAAATTAAAAGTAGTACCTAAAAGGCTTAGACAGCTATGATGAGTTAGTAGGAACAAAAATACCGTGGTTTATAGCTGGCAAACAAAGTGTTTGGGAATACCTTGTTTTTGTTTATGTAGAAGATATGTTTTGAATTTATTTTTGAAATTGTAATTGGTGTTAAGATTTCTTATTGGTGGTGGGATGTTATTCCAACACTTCGTTGCCATATATCGGAAACTACCAGTAAATGCCGTTGTTTTATGGCTGTGATACAGGAGTGCTGATCTTATGGACCTCAATTGTTTTCCGGAATTTTGCTTAGCAAATTTTATCTTTACATGCAGGTACTCTGGTTTTTTAAACTTAATGACATTAAAAACAAGCCCTCCTAAATGTAGCTCTCTACGTGAGTCCATGTTGAGCATGGAAGCAGTGTTCAAGAAAGGAGTAATGTGACTTCTGGGGGGACATCAAAACAGAACCGACAACATGCATTTTGCACGCGCTGTATTAGTCGCTTTGTTTTGCTGAAAATTCGAGGTCCATAAACAACATCTCCGTAGTTAAGCCGAGATAAAATTAATGACTCGCAAAGAGTAATGCGTGACGGTACAGATAGTTGGTCCGGATATGGTATAATACCTTTAGACGATAAAAACAGTTTTTTACCATATTAAGGACAAGATTTTCAAATCTGAGATTACTGTCGAAGGTTATACAAGGTTTTTGGCTTCATCCACGCGCAATATATGTGTACCATTAATCTTAACGTCTAGCTCACCACAAATTCTACTTATTTGCGCCTTTGTGCCCATGACTATATATTTTGACTTTGAGGGGTTTAAAACAAGAGCATTCCGCATTGACCAGTCAGCAATCCTGTCCAGATCATCATTAAGCCGTGTCACAGCTTGTGGTAATAGTTATAAATTAATTTGCTTAATTCCGCGTAAAGAAAGAAAATAATGTGTCCTGCCCAGTTTTAAGGGGACCTTCCACCCTCCCTCAATCGCGCGCACTATACCCGTCGCCGTCAATCCCAAATCCCGGTGCTGGGGATGGTAGTGCTGGATCACTGGAGAATTTTTTTATAGAATAAGTGTGGCAAACGAGCACACAAATCCACCTGTTGCTAAGAGCTCGATTAAGAATCAAAATGCACAATCATATGTTGTTTGATTGAGAACTAAGATGGAATTGCTCGCTTCAAGTAAAAAGGTCCTCCGGTTCTCCACACTCGCCAATAAAATAATAATAAATTTTAATTATGGTAAAGTGGACTAAAAAGTTAGTTTTAAGATTTATATTAAATCACTTTTAAATCACACTTAGTATTTAGAAATATATAAGTATGTTTATCAGTTGTCTAGTACCCATAACACAAGCTCTGCTTAGCTTGGGACTAGATGGCGTTGTTTGATAGTTGTGGAATATTATATTATATTATATACATATTTCAATAAATTCAACCGTAGAAATGATCACATTTGTTTTTAACCGACTTCAATTCTCGTACTCAATTCGACTGTGAATTTTTTTCTGACTGAACCGATTTTGATGATTCTTTTTATTTTATTTGAAAGCTGGTGCTTCTCATATGATTTCATATAAATTTGATCAAGATCTGACCAATAGTCTTTAAGTTATTCTTAATAATGCGTATTTAATTGACTTCGACTACATTGATGATGTTCTCATTTTATTTATTTTTAAATATTGAAGTCGATTGTACAACATTATTAATATTACCGCTTGTTTAAATTCCCTTTTTATACATACGTTTGATTTGTTAAGTCTATTAAATTATACTACACTATGTAGATAACGCTATTTTGTGAAATTATTATAACAGGTGAATTTATATTAGCAATAGTTGACTAATTAAATTTCAAATTCCATTATCGTTTTTCAAACTTATAATGAGGTCCACAACACTCGATGGTTATAAATTTGTCATACCTGTATTACAATGTATGTTTTATTTAGTAATACTCGGCATCGCACATTGATGTTTCCGTAAAAATAAATTTGTATAACCTTAGAAGCTATAGAAGCTGTCACGAAGTGAAGTGACGCCGTATTTTCGCAAAGACACTAACTTGCAGCCGCTTTGGCCGTGCATACAATGAACTATTCAAAGTTGAGATTCGAGGAGATCTCAACCCTTAACAAATGAAAACGGTCCTCTTATTCTATAAAAAAAAAAAGAGGAAAACCCGAATGCACAGTTCCATCGCTGAAATCGTTGCTGTTTTCTATAAACTCGTATTATACGAGTACTAACTTTTTGTTCCATCGGTCGTTATATATATCTTGGTCCTTAACCTGTTAATAATCCAGCCGCACACTGGATTTTTAACAGGTTAAGGACCAAGATATTATTGTAGATTTTTTGCCAATGTATTTTGAATGTATGTAGATACAGAGTAGTTTCAATAATTTTCCTGTGGTCAGTATTACCATTGATTAAAAAAATTATTTAAAAACATTTTTTTTCTCAGTGGTTCCTTGGACGGTGTATTGTAAATGGTTTACTTTTATGTCGTAAATTATATTAGCGGTCCTTGGAAATGGCTTTCCTGCTATTTTTCGATATCGTGCATCTCTTGATCGAATTTGGCACTGAATTGTTCGTTGCGACTCCGTCGGGTCGCTGGAGCGTGTGGACAGAGCTGGTAAATAGGTTGAGATTTCATGAAACGTTTGTGTCAGGATAATATTAAAGTGCTTTCCTGTCTCTTGCAACTTGCTTTGCTTTGCTAAGCTGTTTGCTTGAGAGACCCCTGATTTTGTTTTCAAAGTCTCGGCGGCTAGACCACTCTAGTCCTTAATCTGTTAAATATAATGACTTATATACGACCATAATAAATGTTGACCAGTTGACAACTACACAGCTTAATGTTGTAAAACAACTAGTCTTGAAATTATTATCATCTTCAGTTCCACTGTGATTCACGAATCATTTTGTATTTTATTACAGGATGAAGAGCCAACCCCATCTGCCGTACATCTCAGACGAATACATCATACTGTTTCTTCATTCCAACTACTTCAAAGTGAAAGAGACGAAGGACACTATTGAGTGCTACTTCACTCTGCGCAATAACTCTCCTGACCTCTTCAGCAATCGTGATCCGTTGTCCCCTCGGAACAAGACTGTTTTAGATATTGCGTAAGTTTCTTCTTGCTTTCTTTGCTGATTAAAAAATGCTAATTGAGTGCATGTGTCAACTGCAGTTATAAAAATAAAAAGAGAAAAAAACCGTCATTGCAATCAGTGCCTTTTAAGTGATTGCAAATCTAACTTATTTCAAACTGCATTTTGGGGATGGTTAGCGAGCAGGTTCTTCTCCATAAAAATGTCAAAATTATCATAAATTATTACTTGTTGTCATTTTAGTTTGGATCTGTAGAATATTTTAGAAAGTTGAAAAATAAATCTGAACTGATAATTAATAGTGAAACTTAAAATATGCAACATACGGGTTACTGCTGGATACTTGTTCTCTCTCTTTTCTAAGAGGGTTATGGACCAGAAAAAGGAAACATTTCGCTGTTGCTTCTCATCGTCAAAGTTTTTCCGCCATTTTTGGTTATTAATTATTAACTCGTTTCATTTTCAGGCATATGGTAGCTCTACCGAGACAGACAGAAGAAGGCTATCACATTCTATTATACCGCCTCTCCGACTTCGACTACAGTAAGCTGAACTTTGCGGACGCAGTTCGCGTGTTCTGCATGTTCAACGATATTAAGCTGTCAGAAGATCGACTCTCGGAAGGGTACATTGTAATCTTCGATATGAAAGGTTGCAGTCTCGGCCATATAACGAGGGTCACGTTGCCCGCTTTAAGGGCTTTCATGCAGTATATTCAGGTACGTTAACTGATCATTTGATTTTTTTATTTGCTACCTAAATAACAAAGCACTGAGACAATGATTATTAAACCCAAGTTATTTGCTAAAGATAATCATTAGAAATTACAAGTTATCTATGATATGAAAGTGAGCTCATGTTTGATTTCCAATGCATTTGAATTTTGTTTTTAACATTCAGGTGCTCTGTCACCCGAGAACTAATTTGCCGTTATACTGCTATTTCACGCTAGTGTTTAGTGAGAGTGTAGTTCATCCTTCGGATGGACCCATTCTGAAGTCTGAAGGATAAAAGGAGCCAGTATAACTGCAAGCTGTGATGCATTCCATCTTTTTTTATAGAATACTAGCTGGTACCCGGTGCGTTGCAGCCACAGAAGAATCGTTTTAAATTTGAAAGATTTATATTGTTTAATTCCCGTCGTAAAAATAATAATTAATCCCCGACGCAAAAATATAAGTGTTACAAGTTTTACCGTTATGTGTGTGTGTCTATCTGTGTGTCTGTCTATGGCACCGTAGCTTTTAAACGGGTGAACCAATTTGTGTGCGTTTTTTTATTTAAAAGCAGGACTTCTAGCGGTGGATTTTAGGCTGAGATCTATAGACCGTACTTTAACTTTGCTCAGTCTTTACTTTCGAGCTAAGACAATGTCGGTATTTATAGAGCTAACTTCGAAGTCGTGCTGAGTGCGCGCTTAGAAAAGCCTAAGTCAACGAAATCGACGACTTATGTAAAACTCAGAATGTTATTCAAAACTACCGTATTTGTTAGGCCGTCTTTTAGTTTTGAATACCATAATTCCATTCGTTTGATTTGCTAAGTCTATTAAATTATACTACACTATGTAGATAACGTTATTTTGTGAAATTATTGAAGGAAATTAAGGAAGCCATTGAATGTAAATGGCAGTTTAATTTTGTTTAGTTTAGTTGTAATAAATTTTTTTCGGCTACGAAATGGCGAAATTTTCGGTGTATTCAGCAGCCTTGTATGAAAAATTATTACTAAATGGAATAGAGACTGCGACCTGCGTCACTCAGTTCGGCGTCAGTCGCCGGCGTGAGTGGACATTGTTTCGGTTGTTTGCAGCGGCTCAAAAAGATCGCTGTACAAATACACAATATTCGAATAACTAAATTTCTTAAATACTAGATTATAATAATAATGAGAGATTTTTTTATTACAATATTTTAAAAGCACAGAATAAATAATAGTAGAATGTACTAAAAGTAAGTAGTATCAATTTTTTCTTCATGAGTGTAAATTTCATGGTTTTCGAGGGTGCTGAAGCCGATAGAGCTGTCGAAATGTAAATCCAAGGGGGCGACTGCAATTAGGTATACATTTTTTCATCATTGGTGTCATTTTCATGGTTTTCGAGGGTGTTGAAGCCGATGGTGCTGTCGAAATGTAAATCCAAGATGGCGGCTGCAATAGTTATCAATTTTTTCATCATGGGTGTCATTTTCATGGTTTTCGAGGGTGTTCAAGCTGATAGTGCTGTCGAAATGTAAATCCAAGATGACGGCTGCAATAGGTATCAATTTTTCATCATGGGTGTCATTTTCATGAGACTTGAAGTCGATAGGGTTGTCGAGATGTAAATCCAAGTTGGCGGCTGCAACAGGTATCAATTTTTTCATCATGGGTGTTATTTTCATGGTATTCGCGAGTGTTGAAGCCGATAGTGCTGTCGAAATGTAAATCCAAGGTGGAGGCTGCAATTGGTATCAATTTTTTCATCATGGGTGTCATTTTCATGGGTTTCGAGGGCGTTGAAGCCGATAGTGCTGTCGAAATGTATTTAAACTACTTTTAAAAATTCCGTATACGTAATTTTTTTAATGCACTTAGGGTATGCCCAATTGGATTTACCAATATATTTTTCTTTTTTTTTGATTTTGCACTCTTCCTGTTCACGTTCCTGTTCTCATACGCATATATATATATATATTTAAGAACCGACAACCGATGGGGAAGAAAGGTTCTCGAGTGGCAGCCTCGTACCGGTAGGCGAAGTGTAGGGCGTCCCCCCACGAGATGGAGTGACGACCTGGTAAGACATGCAGGAAGTCGATGGATGCAGGTGGCTCAAGACCGTGCTTTGTGGCATTCTTTGGAGGAGGCCTATGTTCAGCAGTGGACTTGTGAAGGGCTGTAATGATGATGATGATGATGATATATTTAATATCGGAAACAGTCCAAATTTTATTTCATAAAGAAGTTATTATTACATGAAATAGAAAAAGGGCGTATGAGAACAGATTGGTAATTTTGATTTTAAATATATATATTTTTTAATTTTATACAGTAAAGTCAAAAATATAATGAGTGGAATAAAGCGTCCATTAATATTTGGACTGTCTGGGCCTTAGCATAAGCTTAGCTTAATCTTAGCCCGATACAACTATAGATTCAGAATCAATTATTATGCTAAGCATATACTCAGCTGAGTCTTTCGTAAGCTAAGTCTGAGCAAAGTCAAAGTACAATCTATAGATCTCAGATGATAAAACATGTCTAAGGCTGAGGCCTTAGATATGTTTTATCAAAATCGGTTCAGTTTTTCAAAAGCAAGCAAGGCATCAGCTGTTTTGTTAGCTGCGGTAGGGGGTTTTCTTCGGGGGTTTTAAATTTTCAATTTAAGATATCTTATTAAAATTTCAGAATGGGCACCCATGTCGTCTCAAGAAGATCCACGTGGTGCATACAGTTTCGTTTATAAACCAGGTGATGGGCCTTGTCAAACCTCTTATTCACTCTAATCTTCTCAACCTTCTAAACTTCTCTTCCGACGGACCCGCTTCCGTTGTCGACAAAGAACTTTTGCCCGAGGACTATGGCGGCCCTGAACCACCAGTGAAAAAATTACACGAAGAACAACGCAGGAATATGGAGGAGAACTACAGGGAATGGTTGATAGAGTCCGAGATCTTCAAAGTAGATGAGAAGAATAGAATTAAAAAACCTAGTAAAGGTATGTTCGCCAGTTTTACCAGCAGTTTCAAGAGCCTCGATATTGACTAAATGTTGCCTGTGAAAGTTCTCGGGACCTGATCGCATAAAATTAGGAATGTTACAGATAATGTTTCAAATCATTTCCTCAATTTATAATATTATATTAAAACTATTTTTTTCTATTTATCTGTGCTGTTCTTAAATTTATAGCTTGTTTGAGTGAAGTTTCATAAAAAAGGTAATTAGATAGTACGAACTAAAACCGAATACGATTCCCGCCGGTACCACTAAAACTGCTAATTGCAATTTTAAGTGCAGAACCTATTACTTAAAACGTAAAACCTGTATGTCTGAGAAATAAAATTTTGAGGACATGTGACGTCCGACAACCTGTATTGAGGCAGCGCAGCGGACTTTTGCTTGTTTAAAAATTGAGGCGGCCTGTGCCCAGCTGTGGGTCGTATTTAAGTTAAAACCTAAATACGACCTACTTTCTAATAACTTTCTAAGAACTTTCATTAAGTACTTATGTTTTAAAAATCGGATATTTGTCAGAAATTGTATTTTATATAAAAATTTAATGTAAGATTTTTGTGCAATAAACGCTGTAGTTCTTTTTTAAAAATAAATGCAGGAAAGGATATATTGATATACGAATATTATTAGAAATAATTTTTAATGTGTAATGAATAGATATGACCACGTTATTATTGCAACTATTAAAATTCAATGATAATTATCTTTTGTAGTTAATGCAAAATTTTATAAGGTACGTGAGGGTAATATGATCACCTTAAGCTTTATCGTTTATCGCCCTTTAAAACCAAAACTAATATATTAAGAAAAAAAAATAGCAAACTAGCTTTGGAAATTATTGGGAACACTTCGAAAAATCAACTTAAAAAAAACTAACTACACTACACAATACAAAAATTAAATATATACAATACTATCAACTGTCAAAATAGCGTCGATGAAGCAGCGCCGTTTTGACTCTTTATTATTTGATAGACTGATGAAGAGCTATCGTATCACAGAGCTTTATATGCAAACAAGGCTGTAGTTTTTGAGTTAGAACAAAGTGACCATATTAACCGGATGCTCATATCACCCACACGTACTATATTCCCTCGGCTACCAATAAAATATCTGCCATAAAATTATCGTTATTCAATGTAAAGAGAATACTGCAAGTGCAATCATGTCTGACTACTATTCCTTGATTTTTGACGATGAAAAATAAATTATTACTAATTTCTAAAAGGTTATTTTTTAATTCTACAATTATTTTCTTTCTATGTTGTTCTATAATTGCAGTGACAATGGCTCAATATCTTAGAGTATACACTGGTATAGTTTGCTTATGTATATTGTATACTCTAATGCAATGCACACTCTTTAATGTTTTTATGAGACTGACGATACATAGTATTTTCCTCACTCCTCTAACTACCTGGTATCAAATGTGCTTGTAAACGATAAGCTGATAAATTTGCTCAATTTATCCATACATAAATAAGCTATAATATAATAAACCTGCTGTTAATATGATAGATACCCAATTAGTTTTATGCCAGCATTAAATTGAATGCTAAAACATGGTTATCGATTGAGAAAAGGCTGAGCTATTCTGCATCACGATTTCACTAAAATGCCAAGGATAAGAAATTGGTCGAATACGCCGGCATTAATCTAACAGGGTAGTCATCCAAACAACCAATTAACAATCGGACTCAGATATTACCATTCTGTAAATAATGTTATTTGTGTATATAGTTAGCTTATCAATAAATGTTATGAATTAATTATTGATTGTTATTTAGTATTAATGAAATTGAACTGTCTAAATGTATTCTATATTTAATTGTCTCTGGACGGATTGTAATCTTATGGTTTCAAAACATTGTATAACTTATATACAATTGTTAAAGATCAAATAACTAATTAGCTTTGTTAGTAATATTTTAGCGATGTATTTTTAAAATTTCAAGCTTCACTATCGTTTTGTATTTTTATATATCACGTGATTGTGGGAGTTACCATTTTAAGGCGGAAGTCATCTATGCTCATAGTTTTAGGACATAAAATTATTTCAAATGAACTATATCTATGTCGGACATCCAAGTACTTAACACATTCGGCATTACTATTTAATAAATAAGAATTCAACACATCGTTGGTAGTGAGTTCGTGGCTCAAAAATATACATTATACGATATTTAAAGATACATTTGCAGACATTATGAGGACTGTGAAGTGCCAATACGCGGCGCGTGTAGGTATGTTTAAAAATGCTATCTGTTCCAAACCGCTCGCTCCGTATCATCGTATTGTACAATAGAAAGCGTTGCAAGTCTTGGAGGCAATTGCCTACACTTCCTCTTTGAAATATTGTTTCTGGCGATAACGTTTTCACCCCCCTAAACCCTTATACGAAATGAGACAGTTTTAGTCTCTTTAGTTAAAACTACTAAAGTAAACCTTCATCTAGGTCTGTACGTTTCTTTTTTAATAAATCAGTTTAGTTTAATTAAAAAGAATAAAAACGCTCGAGGAAGTTTTTAAGTCAAAAATATAGATATTTGAATTCTAAAAACTTATATCGTGCGCAATATTTCTTTATAATAAAAACGTATAGACCTAGGTTTTCATTATATCTCTAACATTTCCAAAAATTATGGAAATTAGACTATGTTTACGGGTGGCAAAACTTTATCGCTTTTTGTACGAAAATTTACAGCTTCACAATCCTCTTAAAGCTTCTCAGTACAGCATTATTTATTCTGTTGTACAGTATACTTTTGTTATCAGCACATTCGCTATCCAATAAATAAGTTCTAGGTCCCGAAGTGACACTCATTCGTGTGATCTTGTGGGAGCGAACCAAGTAGATGAAAGATAAATTATTTTAAGTAAACTCCGAGCCTTTACAATTAAAACAGTCTTATGTAATTATTTTATATATAAAAAACTGATAAAATCGTTAACCTTATTTGAAAAGAGCAGGATATTTCACACATGATATTTTAAAATACCGAATTTTATAAAGAATTTACGTTGAAATTAAGTAACATTTAAAAATAGCATGAAGAAAAGTGTTATTATAGTTGGCATAGTATTGATATTTTTTTTTTATAGGATGAGGGTGACAAACGAGCACACAGTCCACCTTATGGTAAGTGGTTGCTGTGGCCCATAGACATCTACATTTATCCTGGATTACGAATCAAAATGCAGATGCGTTGTCACCCATGAGGACTAAGATGGAATGCCTCGTTTCCAGAAAAAAGGGTCTCCGGTTCTCCACACTCACCATACGAAACACAGCAGCATTAAGCTGCTATTTTACGCTGATATTCTATGACAGTGTGGTCCTTCCCCGGTCGAGCCGACCCATTCGTGTTACAACTTTACCAGAAGTATAGCTGCAGTATGGCTTTACCGCATATAAATAGTTAATGATATGTTTATAGGCGTTACTATTTTAAAAGCAAATAATTATAAAGAACATTTAAATATATTACCAACGTGATGGTTAAAAAGTGTTGTTTTTATATTTTGAAATGTTTTTAATATGTTATAAGAAAATACGGACCACCATTTGAAACAATATTTATATTTTTATTTTATTATTCATGTTTATATTAGTAGTATAATATATTTTTTGTGAAAAGTTTCGTTTGTTTTATATATTTTTGGTGCTGGTTACTTTTATTTGAATAAACTTTACAGGCTTGATTTTATTAAAATACCGAAAAATTTCAGTATTGCTAAAAATACTGCAGTTTTCGTAAACCATTAACACCATCTTTTAATGTTTAGAAGTTTTGACAACACGTGGTATTTTAAAAAGTATTTTATAATTGTTTAGTAGATGCAATGTACCAAATTATTATTTTTAAATTCACATATTATTGTAAATAAATACTAAATTTCTATTTTTAAGTGTGATTATTTATTCCCGCCACCGCCGTCGGGTTACCACCCCACACCGTCCTACGCCTTATCTTGTGGGTACGAAGTTGCCAGTCGAGAACTTTTCTTCCCCATCGATAGTCAGTTCATCGATCACCGAGCCCCTCTCCCCACTAGATGGAGTGACGTTCTGTTAAGATAATGCAAAAGTCGATGGGTGCAGGGGGCACAGAACTATGCTTTGGGGGGTCTATGTTAATATGGACCTGTGATGGGATGTACCATACCATGCACATAGGCAGAATTGGCGAGAAACTAGTTCGCCTTCCTTCGGGAACCCGTGCATGGTGCTGGTCTCTCGCCAAGGCTGTCCAAGGGAATTTCTGTAAGCCATCACTACCATCTCTGCACAGGGAGGACGACTCACTGGCCCACGACGCAAAAGAGAAGGCCGACATTTTAGGCTCCCTTTTTGCGTCCAACTCGACTGTTGATGACGGGGGGAACACACCGCCGACCATCCCGCGGTGTGAGTGCTCCATGCCGGATGTGCGGTTCTCACAGCGCTCGGTTCGCAGAGCACTCCTCTCCCTTGACATCCACAAGTCGAGTGGGCCTGACGGAATCCCCCCAATTGTGCTGAGGACGTATGCTCCGGAGTTGGCACCGGTTCTAACGCGTCTTTTCCGGTACTCCTACTCCCTAGGCGTAGTCCCAAAATCATGGAAGATAGCTTTTGTCCACCCGATCCCTAAAAAAGGCGACCGCTCAGACCCGTCCAACTACAGGCCTATCGCCATTACCCCCTTGTTCTCCAAAATAATGGAATCCGTTGTAAACTGCCACCTCATGCGGTACCTTGAAGATCACCAGCTGATTAGTGACCGCCAGTACGGTTTTCGTCGGGGTCGATCAGCTGGTGATCTTCTGGTCTACTTAACTCATAGATGGGCGTTGGCAGTAGAGTCCAAGGGGGAGGCATTGGCCGTTAGTTTGGACATTGCGAAGGCCTTCGATCGGGTTTGGCACAAAGCGCTTCTTTCGAAGCTCCCTTCCTATGGGCTTCCCGAGAAATTATGCAATTGGATCACCAGCTTTCTTGCAGATCGGAGCATCAAGGTCGTTGTAGACGGTGCATGCTCCGACTACAAGCC